ACCACACTTAGTCCCCAACTCCAAATCATCTATGTAAATTGTAAACATTTGCGGTCCCAACACTGATCCCTGAGGCACACCACTAGCCACTAACAGTCAACCAGAAAAACACCCATTTACCCCTAGTGTTTGCTTTCTACTGATCAACCAATCCTCTATCCATGCCAATACATTATCTGTAATACCGTGCAACTTTATCTTATGTAGCAGCCTTTGGCGTGGCACCTTGTGAAATGCCTTCTGGAAATCCAGATACACCACATCCACAGGTTCCCCATTGTCCACCATGCAAGTAATGTCCTCAAAGAATTCCACCAAATTAGTTAAACATGACCTACCCTTCATGAACCCATGCTGGGTGTTCCCAGCGGGACAATTTATATCCAGGTGTCTTGCTATTTCTTCCTTAATGATAGATTCAAGCATTTTCCCCACTACCGAAGTTGAGCTAATTGGCCTATAGTTACCTGCTTTTTGTCTACTTCCTTTTTTAAACAGTGGCGTCACATTGTCTGTTTTCCAATCTGCGGGAACCACCCCAGAGTCCAGTGAATTTTGGTAAATAATTACTAGTGCATTTGCTATTTCCCCCATCACCCCTTTTAGTACCCTGGGATGCATTTCATCAGGGCCAGGAGACTTGTCTACCTTTAGCCCCATTAGCTTGCCCAGCACTGCCTCCTTAGTGATAATAGTTTCTAGGTCCTCACCTGCTATAACCTTCTTGCCACTAGTTTACGGCATGTTATTTGTGTCTTCCACTGTGAAGACTGACACAAAAAAGCGGTTTAATGTCTCGGCTATTTCCTCATTCCCAGTTATTAACTTGGCCTTCTCATCCTCTAAAGGATCACTGTTTACCTTCGCCACTCTTTTACAATTTACATATTTATCGAAACTTTTGCTGCCTGTTTTTATATTCTGAGCTAGTTTACTCTCCTAATCTATCTTACTTTTCTTTATAACCTTTTTTGTGGCTTTCTGGTGGCCTTTAAAGATTTCCCAGTCTACTAGTTTCCCCACTACTCTTTGCTTTTTTCTATGTGTTTTTTAATCTGATACTTTCCTTTATTTCCTTAGACATCCATGGCTAGCTCTCTCTTTTCCTACAGTTCTTCCTTATCACTGGAATATACTTCTGCTGAACACTGTGAAAAATCGTTTGGAAAGTCCTCCACTGTTCCTCAATTCACCCACCATAAAGTTTTTGCTCCCATTCTACCTTAGCTAATTCCTCCCTCATTCCTTCGTAGTCTCCTTTGTTTAAGCACAGGACATAGGTACTGAATTTAACCTTCTCACGCTCCATCTGTATTTTAAATTCGACCATACTGTGATCGCTCCTTCGGAGAGGATCCCTAACTGTGAGATCATTATTTATTCCTGTCTCATTACCAGGACTAGATCTAGGATGGCTTGCTCCCTCGTAGATTCCATTACATATTGTTCAAGGAAATTATCGCGGATGCATACTATGAACCCCTCCTCAAGGCTGCCATGACCGACCTGGTTTGACCAATCGATATGTAGATTAAAATCCCCCATGATAATTGCGTGCATTAGCTATTTCTATGTTTATAGCCCGCCCCACCACGATGTCATTATTTGGCAGCCTATAGACTACACCTATCAGTGACTTCTTCTCCCTGCTATTCCTAATTTCCACCCAGATGGATTCAACATTTTGTTCAGCGGAACCTATATCATCTCTCACTACCGCCCTGATATCATCCTTAAAAATCAGAGCAACACCACCTCCCTTAACTTCCTGTCTGTCCTTCTGAACAGTTTGATACCCCTGGATATTTAACTCCGTCATGACCATCCTGTAACCATGTCTCTGTAATGGCCACTAAATCATACCCATTTGCCATGATTTGCACCGTCAACTCATCCACCTTGTTTCGAATGCTCCGAGCATTCAGATAAAGTGCCCTTATGCCAGTTTTTGCACCTTCTTTTTGAGTCCTATTACCTCCATTACTAACAGCTCTTGAGTTCTCCTTTAACTTTTTTCCTAATTTTCAATGGAGTTGAAGCTTCCTCATTACCTGCTAACCTGCTGCTTTGCCTTACATTAATTGTTATTCTCCCTCTACGCTCACTTCTTCTCTCTCTCCCCCCCAACTTACTAGTTTAAAGTCCAATTAACCACCCTATTTACACTTTTCGCCAGAACACTGGACCCGGCCCTGTTCAGGTGGAGTCCATCCCAGTGGTATAGATCCCTCCTGTCCCAGAACTGATGCCAGTGCCCCACGAAAAGGAAACCCTCTTTCGCATACCACTGTTTTAGCCACGTATTTACTTCCCTGATCCTCGCCTTCCTGTGCCAATTTGCATGTGGCTCGGGCAGCAATCTAGAGATTATGACCCTTGAAGACCTGTTTTTTAATTTTGTTCCTAGCTTTTCATAATCCCGAAACAAGTCTTTTTTTCCTCGTCCTGCCTATGTTGTTGGTATCTACGTGGACCACAACAACTGGATCCTCCCCCTGCCTTTCTAGTATCCTCTCAAGCTGGTCAGAGATGTCTCGCACCCTGGCACCGGGCAGGCAACACACCATGCAGGATTCTCTATTCTGCTCGCAAAGGATACTGTCTATCCCCCTGATGATGGAATCCCCTACAACTACAATCTGTCTTTTTGCTCCCCCCTCTTGAATGGCCTCCTGGACCATGGTGCCATGGTCAGTTGACTCATCCTTCCTGCAGCCCTGGTTCTCATCCACGCAGGGAGCAAGTGCCTCATACCTGTGGGACAATGCCAAGGGCTGCGGCTCCTGTGTTTTTGTCTGCGGGGTCCCTCTACCTACCTCACTCGCAGTCACACACTGCTGTCCCTGCCTGCCGATCTAATTAACATTAGTTAATCTACCACGTGTGACCGACTCCTGGAACACAGCATCGAAGGTATTTCTCCCCTTCCCGGATGTGCCACAGTGTTTGGAGGTCAGATTCCAGCTCATCAAGCAGATGTGGTCTCTGCCATTCTCAATGGGATCAGCTAGCTCCCACATCATACAGCTACAACACATCACCTGGCCTGCCATCTCTACTTAGTTAATTATTTAAAATTAATTAGTTTTTTTTTTAAGTTTCGCAGTGTTCTCTGCACCAGTAAGTTTACTCCGTTATATACTCAGACAGACTCTGGCTTTGCCTTCCGACCCGATTAGGAGGAATTTCTTCTGACGGTTGAGAGTCTTTGGAGCTCCTTGCCACAGAGAGCTGTGGGGACAGAGCCTTTATGTATATTTAAGGCTGAGAGAGCTAAATAAGGGTTATGTGGAAAGGGCACGAAAGTGTACGTGAGAAATGTTGATCAGCCATGATCCTATTGAATGGTGAAGCAGACTCGAGGGGCCAACGGTCTACTCCTGACCCTCTTTAGTATAGTTTAAGAATCAAGTGGATGAAAAAGAGTTGACACAGTCAGCCCGATTTTATACCACAATTATCACCATTTAAGTTCTCTGGCTCTTACTTGCACTCATGCTGTCATAACGTAGATTTAGTTAGAATGATTGCAGGGATGAAAGACTTCAGTTCTAAAAATAGATTGGAAAAGTGAGGAATATTCCTCTTAGAAGAAATGGCTGAGAGGAGATTTTGATAGACATTTTCAAAATCATGTGTTTTGGAAAGATTAGGGATAAAAGGATTGAGAACGAGAGAGCACAGATTTGAAATAATTAGTAAAAGAGGCAGAAGTGTATCAAAGGCTTTTTCATGCAGCAAGTGGTTGAGGTGCATTGCTTGGGATTGTAGTGGAGGAAAGATTAATTGAAGTATTAACAAGGAATTTGAACAGTTGCCTAGACAGGATAAATATATTTTATAGGGTTCATAGGTTGTAGGCAGGGAATGGCAGTAGTTCATTTGGAGAGCTAGTCCAAATGGCCTCCTTTCTGTTTTGTGACAATTCTGTGATTCCTTGGTAGTCACTTGTCATTTCTTTAACAGTAAAGAAACAACATCCTGTATCTATTTGTTTATGATTAATTTATTGCTGTTGTTACTGTACATGTATGCATGTGTAGTAATTATTGCACCGTTATTCTCTTGTGCATGTTGCATAACTTGTTGGCACTATTGAGGATTGTTGAAAGCCACAAACCTCCCACCACTGCATACTTGCCACACTTCTTTTTGGGCTGGGATTTTTACCTACAGTAAGTAGAAAAAGTAAAAATCATTCAAACATGCTGATTATTTGAGATGATTTGCAGTGATGCATGTCTTTAATGGACAGTCTCTTGCTTTATGCTGTAAACTAAAATAGTGATCAACACTTACTCAAACATCATGTTTAGATTAATAGATGATTTGAGCTGCTGGGTATAAACTGTAGTTTTGAAAATGAAGTATTTTGTCATGTGCATGTATTTGTATTGCTTGTTGCTGTACTAATGCTCTTGGTGTTGATTTGCAGCTGAAGTTTGTAAATCCCAGGGAGCCATTTTATATCAAGCATTCCAATTATTCATTGCGGTGAGTGATCAATAAAAATCTAAAGCAGCGAGGAAGCAATACCTTGAGAATGGAATTAGTGAGTGATCTTTTAAACATCACGATTGCAGCATTATAAAAGGGATTTGAATCCTTAAATTTTATTCCTTTCTCTTGTAATTATGCTGAGTCTTCATTCTGCTGGAGCTCATCGTAAGGGAAAATAGAGATTCTTGAATTTGGATAATAAAAGTAATATAAACACACATGGTAATTCTGTTCATTCATTGTTTTAATGAAAGCTATTGAGAAAATGAAGTGCAAGATGCCAAAATGGGGGAAAAAATGTACTGTAGCAGGAAGACTACTTTGATAAATATCTGAAATTCAATTTCACAATCCTGATCACCACCAAAAGTTATACTGCATAGATCTAAAAGGAAATGAATGTTGTACTAAAATTGATTTTGTGACAAAGGTATGTATTATTGATTTTCAGTTCTGGAACATACAAACACTTGAAATGGGGGCAGGAGTGGATCATTTGTCCCTTTTGAGTATGTTCTGCCAGTCAATAACATCATGACTAACCTGCTTGTGTTTGAAATTCCATATTGCTATCTACATACAATTACCCTTGTTAGTGTAAAATGAGCAAACATGTCCAAGTGATTTCCTTTCATTTAGCATGCTGAAGTCTACCTTAGCAATTCACTAGTTAAGATTTGTGAATGGTACTGACAAGGTTTGTGATCTTCCCTAGTCTGCCTATAAAAGAACCTTATGCTTCAAAAGTGATGAACTTTGGATTTGAATTGATTTAGGATACCTTGAGGACTTGTAAGGTGCTGGATGGAAATCCAGTTTATTCTTTCCCTCTTTAAACTTCAATAATCTATGGCCCAGAAGATTAATTGCATCTTCTCTCAATCTTAAATTTAGATTTTCAGAAATGTTCTGACTGTGCTGTGTTTTAGTCTGGTTATAATAACTTTTCAGTCAGTAAATTCTTTCCTGGTCCTCGATTTTTCTCTTGGCAAAGCTTGTTTCCTCCATTATTGAGTATTGTAATTGTGATCAGTTATAGTTCCACTTTTTCTGTGCTTCCTTTTAAAGTGCTTCATCTGCTGAAGCAATTTTACCCGGAACACTGCTGTCCTTAACATTCTGTATTATTCTTCTACTTCTCCAACATTAATGTAAGAACAGGAGGCGGCCATGGAGCCACTCAAATCTGTTGGCACATAGATGATATGTGTATTTATTCTATGCCCAACAAAATTCTATCAAATTCAGCTTTGAGGATGAAATGAATTAGTCAACTTGAACAGCTTTTTGGGCACGAGAGTTCTGGATTCAACTACACTTTTGTATGAGGTGCTTCTGACACCACCCCTGCATGGCCTGTCTTGAATTTCAGTGTTATTGCTCCCTTGCACTGAACCTTGCCTCCTATCCCATTACCTTCTAATTGAGGAATACAAGCCTCATCTCTGTATCTGGCATTATAATTGAATGCTTTTATCCCTAGCATCATTCTAATCTGTCCAACACCACCAAATCCCCTCCATGAGGTCATTACTGGGGTGTGATGCAGATAATTAAGTACAATTGGGACTAACCAGAGTTTTGATATAACTTCTGCCACACACTATTCCTAGATTCACTGAGCCAAATGAGTTCTTCTATATTGTACAATTCAAGGGTTCTGAATTTGAACTTGAACCTTCAAAATGATCATCTGCTGGTTATTGTTTCACCTCCCTCACTTTCAGTCCCAAATGCAAATAATCCTACTATTTTCTTGATAGATGCAATTTCAATGTGAAACTTGGGAATGGACAAATACTTGAATCTTTTAGTGAGGGGAAAGTTGATTTCAAGTTTTGTTCATGTTGCTTTTACTTCATGAATTTACTTTTTTGTTTAGTGCTCAACACTACATCAATCTACCTGTCCGGTTCAAACCAGAGTCAGACGGCAGATTCGAGGCACTGCTCGTGATACAAACAGATACATGTGGAAGTCTCCCTATTCGACTTATTGGTGAAGCTATTAGAAAAGAGTAAATGAAAGTTAATTTTGTTAAATTAATTGTCTGGTTGTACTTTAAGATCTGCCTCCAAGAGGGGGAAGTTCCACAGGAAACAGTGTTATGTAGAATTGTACAGTAATAAATGGAAAATGTACCTTTCATGTACAAATTTGCAAATTATACATTTTATAAATGAAGATATTTATGCACTGGTGCCACTTAACATCAGCATAGTGACTTTTAGAAAGAGGGAAAGTATATTAGTACATATTTGTAGTATACAAAATAACAATGCCAGTTTACTATGGGAAGGAGCTGTAAAAGCTTGTCTTTTCCTTCATTATTGTATAATTTGAAATATTTTGCACAAGCTTTATTTTTGTGGCTATTTTGTGTACATTTGAAATAGTTTTTATGCTGTATGTTTGAAATAAAGTTAGTATGGGCAATTCATTTATCAAGACACTTTTTTTTTATCCACATAAATAATGCAACTTCAAATTTTATTGCTGTACCTGAAGCAGTAAATAAAATGGAGCTAAATACTGAAACGTTTCTTCCTATTAATATAAAAGTAGAGTGCTGGAGACATTTGTGGCAAGGGAAACAAAGTTGATATTTTAAATCTGATGTGACTCTTTGAAACTAAGAATTAATTGCTTGTTTGCATAGAACTTGCACGTTACAAAAGGAGACAAGAAGCTGAAGCTTTTTGTCTTGCATTCAAGATGGGGATGCAAAAAACAGACTTGGAAAAAGGGGCATTGAATCATCACTCATTGCCTCTTTCATGCATTTGTGCAAGAATCAATGTCACCATTTTTGGCTCTGAACACAGTCAGTGTACCTTTACATTACTCTGAAAGGGGAAGGTATCTCAAAAATTTGAACTACGTCTGAAGCTAGCTGTGTCTCACTGCTATTTCACGATAATACAAATGGACTTCTGCACTATGCTAAGGATGCTCCCTTCAACCAAAAAAATTTTGCCTACCACACGAGTAATTTGGTGAGTTTGTGTTGGTGTGATGCCAGCTATTTAAGTCATAGGTCCCAACGACGAGAAGACTGTCAAACAAACATGGCCTTTTTTAAAAAAAAAACAAAAGAACTGCGGATGCTGTAAATCAGGAACAAAAACAAAGTTGCTGGAAAAGCTCAGCAGGTTTGGCAGCATCTGTGAAGGAGAAAACAGAGTTAGGGTTTCGGGTCCAGTGACCCTTCCTCAGAACTGATGGTGGCTGGGAAAACGTCAGTTTATATGCAGAAAATAGGGAGGTGGGTGAGGTAGGGAGTAAATGATAGGATAGAGCCCAGAGAGAGAGAGTTGGACAGACCAAGGAGTTGCTAACGATCAGGCTGGGAGGGTGAATAGTTGTTAATGGGGACTGTTAGTGACTGACAACAGTGGGGGTGTAGTGGCAGGCTATGTGGTAACAAGGCCTGGTGTGTGGGGTCAGGGGCTGGGACATGGGAGAGTTTAGGCCCTAAAATTATTGAACTCAGTATTGAGTCCGGAGGGCTGTAGGGTCCCCAAGCAGAAAATGAGGTGTTGTTCCTCCAGCTTGCGCTGGGCTTCACTGGAACACTGTAGCAAGCCGGAGACAGAGATGTTGGCCAGGGAGCAAGGTGGTGCATTGAAGTGGCAGGCAACAGGTAGTTCGGGGTCTTTTTTGCGAGCAGAATGTAGATGTTCTGCAAAGCGGTCGCCAAGTCTACGCTTTGTTTCCCCAACATAGAGGAGACCACTTTGTGAGCAGCGAATGCAGTAGACTAGATTCTTGGAAGTGCAGGTGAAGTGTTGCTTCACCTGGAAGGTATGTTTGGGTCCTTGGATACTGGGGAGGGAAGAGGTAAATGCGCAGGTGTTGCACCTTCGCCGGTTACAGGGGAAGGTGCCGTAGGGCTGTGGGGAGGTGTTGGGGGTGAAGGAAGTATGGACCAGGGTGTCCCGGAGAGAACGGTCCCTGCGGAAGGCGGACAAGGGAGGGGAGGGAATACGTGTCTGGTGGTGGCATCTTGCTGGAGGTGGTGGAAATGGTGTCTGATCTTCTGGATGTGGATGCTGGTGGGGATGGTAGGTGAGGATAAGGGGAACCCTAACGCTGTTGCGGGAGGGAAGAGAAGGGGTGAGGGCAGAAGTGCGGGAGATGGGTCGGACCCAATTAAGGGCCCTGTCGACAACAGAGCTGGGGAATCCTCGGTTGAGGAAGAATGTGGACATTTCGGAGGCTCTCTTGTCAAAGTTGGCTTCATCTGAACATATGCGACGGAGACTGAGGAACTGAGAGAATGGGATGGAGTCTTTACAGGAAGTGAGGTGTGAGGATGTATCGGCCAGGTAGCTGTGGGAGTCGGTGGGTTTGTAATGGATTTTAGTGGCCAGTCTATCCGCAGAAATGGAAACAGAAATGTCAAGGAAGGGAAGGGGGGAGTCAGAGATAGACCAGGTGAAAGTGAAGGTAGGGTGGAAATTGGAGGCGAAATTGATGAAGTTTTCCAATTCTCGAGAGGGAAGCAGCACCGATGTTATCATCGTTGTATAGGAGAAAGAGTTGTGGGTGGGGGCCGGAATAGGACTGGAACAACGAATTTTCTACGTACCCCACGAACAGACAGGCACAACTAGGGCCCATGCAGGTACCCATGGCAATCCCTTTTACCTGAAGAAAATGACAGGAGTTGAAAGAGAAGTTGTTGAGACTGGCAGTGAGCTGTATTCCCAGGGCAACACATTGACCAATTAGTTTTCAGACCAGGCAATCAAATTAAGATTAACTGTTGTTGTTGCATTACCATGCCAATGATGACACAACCAATCACACCCTTCATGCTGTTTAAATTGGTATTCAATTTTTCAAGTCTATTTCCTGTACCCTAGTTCTGATAAATGCAAGATGAGGGCCTTAAACATCACTAAAAGCAGACAAGTACTTTCTTTATTTTCTTTTGCTGCGTTATTATGATTCATAATGGACCAGACAATTAAGACAGGGGGTCCTATTCCTATCATCTTTCAGCCTGAGATTGCAATGTCCAATTATGAGCACTTTTTAGATGGAATATTGGTTACTTCCATATTGTTTCTGTAATAATATACAAGCTTAATTCTCTGATATTGGCAGACTTTGAAGAGGCTCAATTCTTAGTATTCATTTGCTTTTGACAGTGTAACCAATGACTTTCTGGTAGGTCGATCTACTCAGTTTTGAGCTTAAGGACCTTAGTGACATATGCCCATTCCAACTGCAATCCATGTCATCGTGGCCTAAAATGTAGCGTTAGATAATGTCCCAATTACATTTCAAGAATCGTTTTCTCCATGTATTGTGGTTTACTTTCCCTCCCTACAGAGGGTTTGAAAAGGTCCTTCTCACCTTTTCAGAATGTTGTTTAGTACTTCAGTTAAGATTTTTTCCTTTTTTTAATGTTGTGAGCAAATAACAAAATTTATTTCCAGGTAATTTAGACTTTATTCCCTTTTTAATACTTGAGTTCTTGAAGACGTTGAAGGCAGGTATCACTTCAGTGACTTCCAGTTTCATTGTAGTTTTGTTATCTCTCATTAGTTATTTTATTTCATCATTTCTAAACAGAAGCTGAACTTTTCTGTAATAACAATATATCTGCATATAAACTCTTTATAGTGTTGTGATTCAAAGTTGGTTCTTGATCATTTGACATTAATTTTGAATAAATATTTTTCAAGGGAAGCCTTATCTTCCAACATACAGCCTTTGTTGTACCAGATATGTGGAGTTTTGGTCTGGGGTTTCTGCTTTCTGCACTGTGTGCACTTGAAGACTTCAGAGGTAATTAACTCCACACCACCAGCAAAGGAGCTCATCAGATCAAACACAAATTACTGTCTGGGGAGCTTTCTTGTTCAGTCAGGAGCCATGCCTCTGAAGTCCAGCCCCAACTTAGGCTGCTGATGGCTTCTGAGATGCATAACATTTCTGGAGCCTGAGGCTGGAGAGCCATGAGAAGCTGTACTAGACAGCAGGTCAGTTTTTTTTTGAGGAGGTTTAAGGCAAGGGTAGCTTTTAGTGGCTTCCCCCATCCCTACTCCTAATTGTCCTTACATTGGTGCCAATGGACCTCCCACCACCACCAACCCAGCAGGTAGGTCAGGAAAGCCACTTTTCTTACTGCCATGAAAAATTATAATTGGATTGCGGTTCTTCAGTGGCTGCTAATTAAATCAAAGTGTGTTGAGAAGGTTGTCCACATAGGCTTTTTTTTAAACCTATAACTTGCTGAGGTAGCCAGAAGGAAGTGAATATCGCGACCCACCCATTTATTTGCCCTTCCTGCCACCACTCAAGGGGTAAGTTGCACCTAACTCTGCCTTTTTTTTGTTAACTTTTCTTTTTTGTGACCATGACTAAGGGGCAAAGGGAGAATGATAAACTAAAGTTTTTTTGCTAAGTCATAAACCAACAGAATGAGAAATAAATTGCCATGGTAGTTTCTGTGGTTTATTATGTTTTTCTCTGATCTCTAATCTTTCCTTTAATTTTATTTCTCTGATTTGGCAAAGAACTCCGCATTCTGCTATCAGACACCGTTTTTCACTTCACAAGTACATCAATCTAATTGCATAAAGAATGCACAATTGCATATTCTGTTCACAGATTGTAGATATCCTGCCAAGTATGTCCTGTCATTACTGAAGATCAATTTCCATTTGAAAATCTCATTGAAATTAAATGAATACAGTCAAATCTAATGAATGATAACTGGTTTGTTCATTAGTTCCAATCAAGCTTTGGGACTTCTGACCTAAGTGCCATGTGTTGGCTCAACATCCTAAAGCAAAGTATTGTTCTAAAGCACCTTGGGATGTAGTATTATATTAAAGATGCTTTCAATACAAGTTGTGTCTAAATTCTGACCCATTTCTTCAATTTCAGACTTAGTGAGCCAATAGCTTTGAGTATGTGCTAGATGAAGATTTCCAGTGAAACTAATTACGGCTAACATAAAATAAACATTATTCATTAAAATTCTCCATCTGTTTATAATAACCAGATTCTTTGAGAGTCGAGGTTTTTGTGGTTGCTGAAGGCAGCTATTCTTTACCATCATCTCATTTTGTGGCTATTGTAAAAGTAAAGTTGACAATAAACTTATGATGACCTGAAAACAAAAAATGCTGGAGATCACAGCAGGTCAGGCATCATCTGGGGAGAAAGAGAGAGAGCAAGCTAATGTTTCAAGTCTAGATGAATAGCCTGTCTTATTACAAGGAGTGGTAGATAATAAAATAGCTTCTTGAATTCTTTTCTGCTAAGGCTTCCCTCCCATTATCAGACTTCCACCATTTGAATCTTCAGAATTGAGCTGATGAGCAACTCCGTAGATTTATCAGTATTCAACCAAACCCTTGAATGCTGCATTAATTGACAAACTCCTCTATTCCTTGAACCATTTTCCTGTACTGTGCATGA